CACGAGTCTGATGCAACAACCACTATGCTACCAGTGAACGGTTAAAAAATAAACTTAGTATATCAAAAAAAAGTCACTCGCATGAGTTTTAGACATTGAATTTAAATTAATAATATATTTAACAAGTTTTTAGTTTGAAAGGATAGGCTAGTAATGATGTTCAGATTTCTTTTTTATTCAGAGATTCAAACATTTGACCACAATTTGATTTATGTCACCGTCTCACTCTTTCATTTGTATTTATTAAAATCTTTTGCAAACAGACTCACAAATGACTGGTTATGAATTAAATCAATTTTATTGACACTGGTGCATGCACAGTATTGTACCAACCAGTGAACTTAAAAGTTTAGATATAAACCGTTAAGGGTTACAATGTATCCTCACTGATGTAACAATTACAAAAACTCAATTCACCCACAATAGCTCTTTCAACATTCACCTACCGTATGTCTAAATAGATCACTTTCATGACCTCTTAAGGTCACACATACTGGTACTTTTATTGGTATAAAACTAAAAAATTATTTAAATTATTGATATTTCAGCACAATTTCCTAGACTTGACTTTTTTTTTTTTGCTGCTTCAGTAAAATGTTTCTGTTAGAAACAAAAAATATACTTTAAAATGCCCGTAATTGTGTATGTTTGTGATGTCATACCAACAAAAGTACCAGGATGTGTGACCTTTGGGGGTCATGAAAATGGCCTATTCATATATGTATATCGGTATATCATTTCCAGAATTATTCATAATTTATAACATGGTTGCTTTTAATCTTAGAGAGGTACACAAGCTATACTGAAATATTTAAGAAGTAGAATTGAGGAAGATAGTACAGAGACTGATGCTGTTGGGGCTGCTTCAAACCCATCCAGTGCAATGGGAGTTGTTTCAAATGTAGAGGGAAAGACGCTAGATTACAGGTAAGCTATGAAACGTTTTTCTTTGATAGTCAGCTAGTTCTGATGAATATATGTATACTGAGGTTAGCTGATGGAGTGAAAGACGCTAGATTACAGGTAAGCCATGAAACGTTTTTCTCTGATAGTCAGCTGATACTGATGAACATATGTACACTGAAGTTAGCTGATGTATGAATGTTATTGATTATTAATTAATCTAAATATTATAAACTCAAATGGCTGTTACTCATTGTGAGCACGTGTTAATGACATACGTTGTAGGCTGTTCGAACAAGTTCTAATTTATGCATGTTCACAGAATGGAGGGAGCTGCTTGACTAGTGAATCTAATTGTTTTGTCTGGGTTTGAATGAGACTGATTTCAACTAAAAACAATTAGGTTTATAAACTAACTTGAAAAAATAAACTTGTTTTGTTTATGAAGCAAGGAGTAAACTTGTCAACAACAAGTGTGTACAGTTTTTCCAGTCACGCAAACTATTTTCTATAGTCATATACAACCTGACGAAAAGCACGTCACAACTTACTGCTATTATTTGTAATGTCTCCGATTTGAAGTTCTAATATTTTTCAAACAAAATTCAAAACGCACATTGCAAAGGACAATTCCGACAATTAATTAAGGTTTACCAGTTTTATTTCACTGAGGTTAATCAATGCAAGGCTAATTTACAACCATCACCATTTTTCCATCTCACTACTTGGCCATGTTGACAATCAGGAAGAAATATACAAATACAAACACGCTGCAAAATAAGTTGCAACAGATGGTTAATTTTCTGCAATAACCAATCACATGATAAATCAGATTATGAACTTGTTTGGTAGATTGTGAATCAATCATTGAAGGCTTTTGTCACATGATGCATAATCTACCAAACTCTATTATCTGTTATATCATTATTACAATATGATGTACACTATTGGACAATATTCCTATTATTCAGTAAACTGGGTTGCCCATTTTGAACACTTAAAATCTTGGAAATGATTACTTACATAATATTGACAAAAACTCTTGCATACAAAAATGTCATCTTGCTAGATTATTGAATACATGTGTTATCACTTGCAGTAACAAGAAAGCTACTAGTGTACCATCCACTATTTGGCAACCTGCTGTAGATGCTGCAGTCACTACTATCAACTTGAGTAAAAATCTCTTGTCTGATTTCCCTTTGAAGTAAGTAAAAAATTTTTTCAGATGGGCGAATTTACGGCAGAATCCGGTATTTATTTAGTGTACTTATCACTGTAATCATTAATATCTTTCCTATTGTACTGCCTGGCTGCATGCATGGACATTGTAATATTACTTCCACTTTTGAATATCTCATTGAACTGTACTGTGAACAATTTTGTTGCTCGAAATGTTTGCAATTTCGGCATTTTATGGCAATCGTGGAGAATTTTGTGAAAGTCGCCTACATTCCATGTTGTAGCCCTCCAGATAAATTTTCACTGCTAGACAAATATTTGTGGATCGTGAAATTAAAAGCGGTTTACAGTGCAGATCATTGCGAAATTTAGAAGTGCGCATTGTTTCATCACACTTTATGGACAATGATTTCTTATTAATAATTAATAGAGCTACATGTTAATTACAGTTATTACTCCAGGGAATCCCACAAGTCAACAAAATTTGCAGAGATACTATAGTACACAAAATGTCAATCCCCATACAATTCACACTCTTTAAATACATAAAAACCTACATATACATTTACGTAACATGTGTAATTTGTGTTGTCACAAATATGTTTTGTAAATGCACTCACTTTGCTTCCCACATTTTTGACCATCCAATCAGAATTCCCCTTTTACTTCCCCAATCATGCCTTGCCCCTACCTTATCTTTGTTTGTCTTGCACACGCCACTTAATTTTAGCGTCCCTTCATTGTTTATCCCCTTTGTCTTTATTATTCATTCATTCTTAATCACGCCATGCGTAGTGTACATTGATTTCGCTATCCCACCTCCATCCCCCACATTCCCTTCTTGGTCTCTTCTGTCAGACTAACTGTGGGGAAAAGGTCTCCATCCTGCCCCCCATTACAGGGTTCGACGGCCATCTGCATGGCCACCTCCCTACATTTTGGCCGTGGCAGTGTGTCCTTGACCCCAACCTTGACAGTTACCTGATCGAAGGGGCCCCTTGCCAAATTTTATTTTAGGTACTTTATTGTTTATATTTACAAGCCTTATTTTGACTTGTTTCAATTTTGTAGTTGTTTAATAGATTGATTTTACAGAGTGGTTTTATTTACATGTATCTGTATTTATTATTGTTTTTTCCTTTATTTTATCTCAATAAATTGCTTGTTTTTTATCCCTTACCTTGGAACTGTACAAAAGTAATACAATTGGCCACATTAGATTTGCATTTATATGCCACAATTTTCCTTCATGACAAGCATCAAACAAGTTCCTGCTATAATATGCAGGATTGTATTTAATTAGAGCAACATTTCTGATTAGATCTTTGAAATAAGCCAGCATACACTGTCATCAGAACTGTACATGAGTGATTTCCACTGTTCTCTTGTTGGTCTTTGAATAATTCAGAAGCTACTTGCAATTCAAAACATAAACCTGCTCACAGTCATAATTACTAACAATAATATACTGGTATTGTCACACATGATTTTGACAATTTTTTTGAATTTACTAACTTGCATTTGAACGTATACATTGCTTTTACCTTTTTATGTCATTCAAATGTCACAGAAGCATTCTTGATCACTAGAGGGCGCTATTTCTTGGATATAAAATATCACTACTGATGATAGGTACTGTAAAATACTTTATTTTCGCTTGGAATTAATTTTCGCTGAAGGGATGATTCAGTGAAAATAAAATCCAGCGAATATACCTCTTTTCCTATATTTGTACATTCAACTTGTCAAAAAACAGTAAAAATAAATTTCATACAAAACACCCAAAAAAATTAATTCCAGCTAAAATAATGTATTTTACAGAAAACTAAATGTAATATTTACTATTTCTTTTTTTCAGTGTTGTTGTATTGAGTAATACATGTAAAGAATTGAATCTTGGATTAAATAAACTCTCAACTATCCCCCCTGATTTGAAAATGATGGTTAATCTCACTACATTGGATCTCAGGTAGATGTAACTCTGGTTATTATGAACACATTGGCGATGATAGTAACTTGTTCTGACTGTATTGGCTTGAATAGTTATTTATAAATCAAATCAAATAAATTATATTAGCTTAATGAGCTCATTTGCATGTATAAGTGGTTTAGAGCCCCCCCCCCCCCCCCCCAATATTTGCTAAGTTGTACTACAAAATTGTGTGTAAATATGCTTGTCGACACAGCGGAGCTGTTCATATTACTGATTGTCTGTCTTCGTCATCCGTCGTCGTCAACTTTACAATTTCATCTTCTTTTTCAAAACCACAAGTCAGAATGTTTTCAAATTTGATATGCAAGTACCTTGGATGGTTCATTCTCAGATTTGTTCATTTCATGTCAAAATCTCAAATTCTCTATTTTTGGTGAATATTTTTGTTATTTTTAATAAAAAGTGGTATTTTCGACTTCTTGCTAAAAACGGCAAGTCTGATTGCTTTGATAATACATATATAGGTACTACATGTGGACCTCTCTCAGATTTGTTCATTTCGTGATGATATCTTTAATTCTCTAATTTCGGTGAATATTTGTGCAATTTTTGGTAAAAAGTGATATTTTCGACGACTTGTTAAAAAACACAAGTCTGATTGCTTTAATACTAGACATATTGTTCATTGTCTAATGATATCTTCAGTTCTTAATTGAAATGTGCATTGCTAACAGCAAAGCTAACTCAGGCGACAGGCTGCTTGTATATTTTTCTATAAATTTGTTGTTAATTTTGAACCAAATTGAAAGCCATTTCCAATTGGTTACAGGTGTTAATCGAAAATGTTGGTGAAACATAAAAGAAGTTTTTACCTTGCCCGTACCATCAAAGATGGAAGGGAAAGGTATATTAAGGGAAAAATTTTGTCCGGCGTTGTCGTTGTTGTTGTCGT